AAGTTTGGTCCTTAAGGGGTTAATTACACATAATGCAGCATGGAACATTTTAATTCACACATAATGCAGGATGGAACGTTTTAATTCCCACATATTACAGAATGGAACATTTTAATTCCCACATAATGCAGGATGGAACGTTTTAATTCCCACATAATGCAGGATGGAACGTTTTAATTCCCACATATTGCAGGATGGAACATTTTAATTCCCACATATTGCAGGATGGAACTTTTAATTCCCACATATTGCAGGATGGAACATTTTAATTCCCACATATTGCAGGATGGAACGTTTTAATTCCCACATATTGCAGGATTGAACGTTTTAATTCCCACATATTGCAGGATTGAACATTTTAATTCGCCCATATTGCAGGATAGAACGTTTTAATTCCCACATATTGCAGGATGGAACTTTTAATTCCCACATATTGCAGGATGGAACATTTCAATTCCCACATATTGCAGGATGGAACGTTTTAATTCCCACATATTACAAGATGGAACGTTTTAATTCCCACATATTACGGAATCGAACGTTTTAATTCCCACATATTACAAGATGGAACGTTTTAATTCCCACATATTACGGAATAGAACGTTTTAATTCCCACATATTACAGGATGGAACGTTTTAATTCCCACATATTGCAGGATGGAAAGTTTTAATTCCCACATATTACAGGATGGAACGTTTTAATTCCCACATATTGCAGGATGGAACGTTTTAATTCCCACATATTGCAGGATGGAACGTTTTAATTCCCACATATTGCAGGATGGAACGTTTTAATTCCCACATATTGCAGGATGGAACGTTTTAATTCCCACATATTACAGGATGGAACGTTTTAATTCCCACATATTGTAGGATGGAACATTTTAATTCCCACATATTGCAGGATGGAACGTTTTAATTCCCACATATTACAGGATGGAACGTTTTAATTCCCACATTTTGCAGGAGGGGACGTTTTAATTCCCACATATTGCAGGGTGGAACATTTTAATTCCCACATATTGCAGGATGGAACATTTTAAGTCCCACATATTGCAGGATGGAACATTTTAATTCCCACATATTGCAAGGTGGAACATTTTAATTCCCACATTATACAGGATGGAACGTTTTAATTTCCACATATTGCAGGATGGAACGTTTTAATTCCCACATATTGCAAGATGGAACATTTTAATTCCCACATATTGCAGGATGGAACGTTTTAATTCCCACATATTGCAGGATGGAACGTTTTAATTCCCACATATTGTAGGATAGAACGTTTTAATTCCCACATATTGCAGGATGGATTGTTTTAATTCCCACATAATACAGGATGGAACATTTTAATTTTCAAATATTGCAGGATGGAACGTTTTAATACCCACATGTTGCAGGGTAGAATGTTTTAATTCCCACATATTGCAGGATGGAACATTTTAATTCCCACATATTATGTTTTAATTCCCACATATTGCAGGATGGAACGTTTTAATTCACACATATTGCAGGATGGAACGTTTTAATTCACACATATTGCAGGATGGAACGTTTTAATTCACACATATTACAGGATGGAACGTTTTAATTCCCACATATTGCAGGATGGAACGTTTTAATTCCCACATATTGCAGGATGGAACGTTTTAATTCACACATATTACAGGATGGAACGTTTTAATTCCCACATATTGCAGGATGGAACGTTTTAATTCTTACAGAGAATTTGGATTTAGATAATTGAGTGATTTCAGGGTTACAATTTGAAGTAAGGGTGTTTTTTACATCTCTCCTGTCTCTCTGCGGTTTGTGTAACTGGGTGGTTTTAGATATCAGATCTGATTTGGAAAACATGGTCATGGTTAGGCGTGAGATTGCACAGGGATCTCCTGTAATGTTACCTGGGACATAAGCATAAGTAATATTTCCACAGGAGAAAGTCCATCCTTTAGGGAGATAGACATGGTGATGGTAACTCGTAACTTGGTGAGTTTGGTTACATTTCATAGTGGTGCTCAGGGCTCTACAATTCGTGGTATTTATCCACCATGTGGGGCAAAACAGGGATTTGGAATTGGGGTCTCTTGAATAATTACATGAAAAAGACCAACATAGGTCAACCGCTGGCACATTAATCAGCACCAAGCACCCACAATCGCTCACCAGCATCAAGTCGCTGGACAGGCAGTAAATAGGCCTAAATTAAAAGCAGTAAAGGGGACAAAAAGCCCTTATCACCTTTCAGACCAATACGGAGTGATCACATGATAGAGCGATTACATGAACACATCACAGGCACAACCAAACATTAGACACTGGCAGACTGGCAAACAAAGTACGTGGCACATGTTTACCTTACATAAAGCAGGATTCTGCTACTTAAATGCTTCAATTCAGTTGTGGTGAAATCACTGTTGTCTCTCTAAACAACAACAAACAACAAATAATACATGTGTTTCTCCTCATTGTGTTCTTTCACTCAAATGTTTAATCTCTAGACATCCACTAGAAAGAGATCACGATTTTCTGCTGAGACCAGGCGACTCGAAATATGCCCACTTCCTTAAACTAAACTTGACCAAAACTGAAATTCTGGTCTCTCCTCCCTCAAGTGTTGTTTCTCCTGTGTCTGTCTCCCTCCAAGCAGGTCCGGACTGGCCCACTGGGATACCGGGAAATTTCCCGGTGGGCCGCGGCACCTGGGGGCTGCGCTGCCACATAGGTGCCACCGGGTGGCCGGTCCGGTGGCACACTGAGAGAGGGCCGGCCGCGTTTCAGACTGGAGCCGCCGGGCCGGGTGGCAGCTTCGCCGGTTCGGCGGCACTCCAGTCACTGGTGTACAAGTGGGACCTACCCTCACGGACTGTGATAAGCCTATTTTATTGGACTTTTGTTTTATTACTTATTTTATTCTGTATTTTATCTGACTAATTTAGTCTTTTATTTTATCAAGTTTTAGGTGCATCCTTATATCTATGTTTGTTCTTGCTAACTGGTGTCACTGATGGCTGAAGGAGGAGGAGCCTGTCTACCATGCTCCCTCGCGGTTCCTGTGCTGGGAATTGTGGGAACCGCGAGGGAACATGGTAGACAGGCTCCTCCTCCTTCAGCCATCAGTGACACCAGTGACTGGAGTGCTGCCGGACCGGCGAAGCTGCCACCCGGCCCGGTGGCTCCAGCCTGGAACGCGGCCGGCCCCCTGCCTTCTCTAAGGTAAAGTGGGGGGAGGGGGAGAGATGGTGAGGGGAATAGAGAGAGGGGGGAGGGAGAGACACAGGGAAAAAGGGGAGGGAGGGAGGGAGAGGGGAGAGACACAGGGAAAGAGGCAGACAGGGAAGAGAGAGACAAAGAGGGAAAAATGAGAGAGACACACAAGGGAAGGGGAAGAAAGAGGCAGAGGGGGAAGAGAGAGACTGGGAAGGAGAGGGGAGACATTGACACAGAGGAGCAGTGAGGGGGAGAAAGAGAGGACCCGGGGCAACGCTCCAGCTCTCACGAGGGTGAACTCTAGCCCTGGAGCTACGGGCTAGAGTTCACTCTCACCACTTCCTGGTGGTCGCAGTAGTAGGAGTGAACTCTAGCACCATACACACACTGCCCCCACACACACACACACCATACACATTCACACACTGCCCACACACACACCATACACATTCACACACTGCCCCCCACACACACCATACACATTCACACACTGCCCCCCACACCCACACACTGAACCTTTCACACACATTGCACCACTGCTCCTATACACTACTACAGCCCCATATCCCAGCAGACTCCAGGTAAGTTGTCAAACTGTTCTTAAATGGTTTGACGACTTACTCTGGGAGGGGGTGCCGACACTCCTGGCACCATAACCACTGCACAGAGAAGTAGTGGTTATTGTGCATGGATTATTTCTTTAAATAATCTACAAGTTCCCCTCCCGGGCTCAGGCTCTGGATCCGTCACTGGTATATGACATGTATATTAATGTGTGTATTAGTTATATATATATATATATATATTATATTTACACATATTAATGTACATTTATATATGCATAATACACAGAGAAATTTAATTGCTATGTACCATATGTAATGAGCAGATATTGGCCCAGTCTTGTTGCTAGGTGCATACTCCAGCACAATAACATATTTAAAGTGAAGAGCGCACCCACAGGACTTCAAGATAATGTAATTTTTTACAGTTGTGTCCTACATACATTCACCATTTCAGTCCCATTGCCAAGCTTTCCTTAATATGTCAAGGTAGTTGGACTGAAACATTGATTACATGCAAAGGCACGTCTGCTTAAAATAAATCTGCACTTTTGTTTATTTTGAAGCCTATGAGTGCGCTTTTTACGTTGAAGTACTTTTTAATTTTAAGTTATCTGTTCTAACTCTGTATCTGCACACTATGCTGGCGCGACGCATTATGGAGCTGGTAAATATATATATTTTTTAATTTTTTTTTTAATTCTTTATTTTTGGTGCGTTTTCGTTTTTACACGATCACGTCCGGCCCCAACAGCCAGGACGGGCACTGTAATTATAATGCAGGGTAACAAGGTTGGTAATGGGTTAGTTAACAAGACATCTTAGGAAACATTCGCACATTTTGTTTTTACATGGGAGTACTAGTAGGTTTTGTTGTAGCATTGTGTTAAGTTATGAGTGCGTTGGTGAGGGGAGCATGTGGGTAACCAATGTGTTAGTAGTGTTAGCCAGAGGTTTGTTTCGGTTATCCAGTAGGTAAGTACCCCTAACCAAGGGGGCATCGGGGGGGGGTGTTGTACACCTCTTGTGGGTGTATCTTATGTGCGTATGCGAGACGGGTGTGAGGCTGCCTTTTCCCGGAACTGTTTAGTATGTATACCGGGTGGTGGTAGGTTGTATATTCTATGTGTATGCGGGGTGCTTCTGAGGCTGCCCCTCTCTGGGTCTGTTAGTATGTATAACGGGTATGAGTGGGGTAACCAGTGTGTGTAGAGAAATCCGAACAGAGGTTAGTATAATGCATAATATAAGCCAGTATTCTTGGTGGTCTGGTAACGTTCGTTCTTCCGTGTGGGATAGTTGCGCCCATTTCTTGATCAGTCAGGTAATAGGTGTGGTTCTCGGTACGAATGGGATCGTTGATTCAGGGTCCCAGGTGTGTTCGGCTTGGGGAGCAGCGGTTACGGTTGGCGTTTCAGTAAGGCCCAGTGTGTGGAGTATTTCAGGTACCTCCGCTTCAGTTGTAAGCTTGTGGGTCGTCCCGTTGTGTACTATTAGTAGGGATCTTGGCATGCCCCCATCTGTATGTTATCCCCGCGGAGCGCAGGCGGCTGGTGAGTGACTGCAGTGATTTGCGCCATTGAAGTGTAGTTTTAGTGAGGTCCTGGTAGAGGGTTAGGTGCGATCCTTCAAATGGTAATGGGGTTTTACCCCTCACTGCTGCCATGATCTGGCCCTTATCTTGAGATGTATTGCATCGGAGGATGACGTCACCAGTGATTGGGGCTGCCGTCTTAGTGATGGTGGGCAGTCTGTACAGTCCACTGAATTTTTTGGCTAGCGCTGGCGGCAACAATGATGCAATAAGTCTCCTTGTATAGTGAGGTAGTTCCTCTGAATCGATCTCTGGGGGTATCCCGCGGATTTTTATGTTATTACGGCGATGTCTATCTTCATATGCCGTCATTTGAATTGACATAGCCTGTTGTGTGGTTTTTAAGTGGACCATTGCGGTTTTCAGTTCAGCTACTTCATTTTGAAGTTTCCCAATGTCCCCTTCAGTGTGAGTTGTCCTGTCATTGAGCAGCTGCATGTTAGATTTCAGGGAGGACATGTCTGCAGTTAGGAGCCTCTGTATTTCCAGCAAGGTATTTTGCATATTGTGGAGATCCTGCTTAGTGGCAGGGGCTGTGCCTCCAGGGATGTCCCCAGTCATGGAGTGTGGGTCCCCCTGTGTTGCTGGGATGTGTGTCTGGCTAGGCATGTCAGGGGTTGCATGGGGATCAGGACCGTTAGTGGCCGCCATTTTGGTACCTGCCGTTGTAGGAGAGTGCCAATGTCCTGCTGTTCCGTTGCCTGGGACGTTTGAGGCCTCTGTGAACGTCTCCCCATTGCTGGTGTAGGACTGTGGAGAGTTGTTGCCGGGTAAGCCGGGGTCTCAGCTGCCCTATGTGCGCCCGCTCCGCCAAATAGTGCCTCGAGGTCTGCAAGCGTCGGTGTGAAGTAGGCCCCGGTCTTCTTTTTCGGTTTGGTCTGTCTAGGGTGTATTGAAAAGGCATCTGTCGGTGCCGCGGGATGTCCCCAATCTGTACCCGCTGGTTTCAAGCTCAGATGGGGTCTGGTTATAGTAGATTTACGGCGGATTTCGCTCGCCGGGAAGGAGCTCTCAGAAATGGCGTCTAGCCCGTCTCGCGGTCAGGCTCCGCCCCCCGGTAAATATTTTTTTATCAGGGCTGCTTTTAATTCCCAGTCCGGCCCTGCCTCCAAGTCAATGGTGCTACCATCAGCTCCACCACGCAGGCTCGCTGCCTAGGTGTTCTGTTTGACTCCGACCTCTCCTTCAAGCCTCATGTTCAGTCTATCGCCAAATCCTGTCATTTCCATCTCAAAAACATTGCGCGCATCCGCCCTACTTAACGCCAGATGCGACTAAGGTGTTGGTCCATTCCACTGTCCTTACTCGCCTTGACTACTGTAATCCGCTTCTCAGTGGTCTTACGTGCTCTTAACTTGCACTGTTACAGTCCATAATGAATGCGGCGGCGAGGCTCATCTTCCTGTCCGCCCACACCTCCCATGCCTCACCCTTCTGTCAGTCCCTACATTGGTTTCCAATAAAATATAGAGCTCAATTTAAAATTCTGGTTCTTGCTTTCAAATCGCTACATAATGCAGGAAACACAATCTTGTTGTTGTTTCCTGTTTGGTTTCACTGCTATTCATCTGACTCCTGGTTTTGATCCCCTGCTTGTCTACCATTTTTGCCTGATTGCCGCCTGTCCTGACTTATGATTCTGTTACTGACTACTCTTCTGGATATCCCTTGTCTGTACTGCATTCCAGGAGGCACTGGTTATTTCAGCCCAAGTGCCCTGTGTCACAGCCTTGGGGATTTCTGTCTTGAGTCGCCTCGGCCTGTGTCGAATTGCAAAGGGTGCTTTAACTCTGCGTGCCGGACTCCCACTCCAGGAACAATCAAGGCACCAACACCAATTATGCATTATACTTGGAATTGATGGAGTTATAGGACCAGGTTTGCCTCCCCTTCAGTCTCCGACCACACAGGACTCTGCAGCTGTCTCCAAGCCGGATTCTGACAGCTAACAAACGGCAGAGGATTCGAACTGAAGGTGCTGCTACTCCGGATAAGGTTCCCATGCTTTGTAGCCATCAGTGAATATTTTTAACACTTTGAATATGTTTTATATCTACGTTTAACAATAAACTTGGTTTTATGGAAGATATACTGTTACTCTTCTTATTATAGAGACCAACGGCTGGAGTTGGAAGGTTTACATTAGTGACTGCTACATTTGATCCTTATGTAGAGAAGTTTATTACACTTCGATACATCTTTTTTAATATATCGGCTATAGCCATTCTCTATGTGTATCACATTGTTGTATATGATCTCAATGTGTCACTAGATTAATACACTTGCTCCTACTGGCTGGTTTTCCCTGCTTTTTCAATAGAAGGGATTTCAGCCTTATTTAAATAGGAGCATACATCATAAGAGACTCATTTTTAAGCATTTGATAAGTTTTTTTATGGTTTATATATATCAAGGACTGTTTTATTCTCGTTGTTTTTTATTGTTTTTCCCATATAGTGACCATTTCTATACTGATATGTTTTTTTGCTAATATTATTGTTACTATTGTATACGGTGTTTAGCAGATCTACCCCTTTTTGTATTTTTATTATCTACTTTATATTATCAATTGATGATATATCTCCTTAAGAACAGCAAGTGGCAATAACTATCTCCTGGTATCAGCAATTTGATTCCTTCTTTTTGCTATTTTATTTATTTTAGTAATCTTAACCTTGGGTGTGGGTTAATCCACTGGGATTTGAGAAGTTACACGCCTCTCTGAGAGATCATTAGAGAACCTTCCTACCTACCATATAAGACCAATACCCTTTTCTGGTAATTTTTTTAGGGAATTTACAAAGTTTAACAAATTGGTGCAATACATTAAAAAAAAAAATTCTAAAATGTTGCGGGTATTTTTTAAATTTGGGGGGGACGTGCCAAACACAGATCCTGTGTCAAATGCTGTAGGTACGACCCTGGTGCATAGCGTTCATCTCTATGGTCTTTTTGGCTCTGCTTATGGTCGAAGCAAGAATCCACCACAGCTGACAAATAGTCTGTTGGATGGTCCCCACCGTATCTGGTCAGTAACCAACACGACTAATCGATGGATTTTGTCAGCCTTTAAAAAATATGGGCCTTCTGTCTAAAGTCGCCACTAGCAAAACAAACTAACTTTGTAGTTTGGGGTTAAAAGGGAATATTATTATTACTAGTTTGGGGTTAAAAGGGAATATTAATAGCCCATGAGTTCCAGGGTTAATTCTGGGTACCGCGCCCATTATATACATACTTTCACAGATACATATCCTACTCTTTACCTAAAAGGATTATTTTTTTTTAAAATGTGGGTGTGCATTACGCATTATGGGGGTAACTTAAAACACATAAAACATTGGGGGAACCTTGTAAAGTAGTCATGTAAACTCGCCACGAGTCAGGCCAAAGGAGCCGTATAGGCAGGAAAGCTTAAGGACTGACCTGGGTGGAATCGAATAGCAGCAGGCTGAGATAAATCACTTGCTATGACAATCCTGACATATTGTGTGTGCTATTACACAGACACAGTGTCACACACCGAATTCTCAATATTTGGGTCGATCCCCTGCTGAGCTTTAACCAGGCTTAGCATTGTCTGGACACTGATACAATGTGTCTCTTGTAAAATGTTTTTTGGCATGAAACTGTAATGCTTGCCTCGTGCAGGTAGCGTGTCCGGTGTCAGGATTACAGCCGGATATTGACTGCATTTTACTGCCAGGGATCGCTGGCAAACTAAAGAGGGGATTATTCACTAAAGCAGGAATTACAAAACAATGTTTAACTCCAAAATAACCAATCAAAATCCATCTCAGACTCCGCTATGTAACAGTTAGACTGTTCTGGCCTGAAAGGAATCTGAAATGTAGCAATCTCACATTAATTCTCCACCATTCCATCGTATTGAGTGAATAATCCTGGCTCGATGTGAGTGTGCGAAGTGTGTAATGATAACTCTGTCTGTCTCTCCTCTTCATCTCTCTCTCTCTCCCTCTGTCTCCCTCTCTCATTATCGTTCTTCCTCATTCTGACTCTCTGTCTCTGCTTCTCTCTCTCTCTTACTCAATCTCTTTTTCTCTCTCCTTCTGTCTCTCTCTCTCCCTCACTCTGTCTCTCTCTCTATTTCTCTTTCTCTCTCACTCTGTGTCTATCTGTCTCTCTCCCGCTCTGTCTCTCTCTCTGTCTTTATGTCTCTTTCTATCTTTTGAAATAAAAGGTAAGTTGAAATTATCACTTAGTCCAGCGTGATGACTCCTTTTTAATGGAATTTCTCCATTGTGTCTACATTTCCTTACAGTATGAGATTCAACAAGTTAAGTGATCAGTTGGTGTTTGGAGTTGGGGGCTCAGTAGAAGCACAGAGTTAGAGGATATGTGGAGGGCTCTAATCATGGGGATTCTTTCAGTTGTCCTGGCTATAATGGGATGTGAAGACAGGGAAAGTCTTCATGAGGTTCTGCTACATCCAGAGAGCAGGCCACGTCTTCTGATGTCATGGCCCACGAATCTTAATCTGGAAATTATCAACCTACCACTCCATTGGGGACACTATGCCCCTCACTGTAACCAATGTCAATCAGAATTCTAAATAAATGGAGATCTTCTAACTGTGTGAAGCCTTATTAGTAAATAAGAGAGGACAGACATGGCTCAAGTTGCAGATAAACAAATGGTTATATTACTTTCAGGAGTGGACCAGCAATGAAAGCAATGCCAGTGCCACCATAATGCATCACTAAGAGCACCCCAAAATAAAATGTCCAACGACTCGCTATAATGCTTGTCAGTAAATAGCGACTGGTACTGACTGCCACATTTCACAAATAGTGAAAGGTAGTAACTGCTTGCTGCTACTGAAAGCCAGTTACTA